TCACTCAATTATGTCCGTCGGGGAACTAGATATTTTAAATGGTTCGGCTCGCAAAAACGGAATTAAAATAAAACAAAATAAAATAAAATAATATCCTGCGCCCAATAATTCGGTACAGGGTCGTGCCGAACCGAAAGTCGCGTACCGAACGGTTCGACACAAATACATGTACCGTTACGGCCCTAGTCTTTGCCTTTCTTTAGGATAACTGAAATTGTCTCCTCTGTCCTTGTGGGGGCAAAGATCCTCGCTGTAGTGCCTCATCAAATACTTCACATAGCAGTGGGGCAAGCTTGAATGAGTATTTCTTATAGAATTCAATGGGGAACCAATCGGGGCCCGGAGCTTTACCACCTTTTATTTTACTAATAGCCCTTTGTATTTCCCCCACCAACAGAGCCTTGTCTAAGGCCCCACTACCTTCAGCATCCAGGGAAGGCAATTTAAAACTGTCAATAAACTGTCTAATTTGCACCTTGTCTACAGCCTCTGATGTGTATAATTGTTCATAGAATTTCTTAAATTGATTGTTGAATCCTGTTGAATAATAGTAGTGTTGCTGAGATATAAGCTTCTGCTTTTGCCTGCCTTAGTTGGTGAGACAGTAACCTGTGTGCACGCTCCCCAAATTCATAGGAATCATAGCGTGGCTTTAAATGGACTTCCTCTGGCCCATCTGTAGACAGAATATCAAATTCAGTTTGCCATCTCATCCTTTCTCTATACAGGTCTGCTGAGGGCGTTGTCGCATGCTTCATATCTATTTTGTTAATTAAGGAAGTTAGTTAGTGTAAGCGCTGTGCCTTTCTGCGTTCATGCCTGCAGTAAATGAAATAATTTGCCCTCTAAAGTTGGCCTTCATGGCTTCCCATAAATTACTCCTACTGGTATCTGGTGAATCATAAGTTTCCAAGAAATAATCTATTTGATTGGATAAAAATGAGATAAACTCTTCATGTGATAGCATAAGGGGTTCAACCTCTACATACGCCTAGAAAAGCAGAGTGATAATACTACTGTGCTATGGTCTGAAATTACAATTTCTCCAAAGTCATAGGAATTGACTAGGGGAAGGAGCCTCTTATCCAATAGGAAAAAATCTGAGTAAGATTGATGTGCAGGTGTGAAAAACGTTACTGTCTGGAGTTGGGGTTTTGCAGTCTCCAGGCATCTGCTATCCCATAGGCCTGGAGAAAGGAGTTAATGTGTTGTGTTGAATTAGCAGTGGTTCTACTGGTGAGCCTTGAGCGGTCCAAAGTAGGGTGTAACACGCAGATAAACTCTGCCCAGGATTAACTGATGATTATTCAGCTCAGGGAGCAAAGAAAAGAACCTCCCCATCATCCCAGTTTGAGGCACAAATGTTTGCTCGGCTAACAGGTATGTTGAACAGTTTCCTCTGCACAATAATAAATCTGCCATTTTTATCAGATATTACTTTAGAACTAGTGAATCAGACATTCCTATGTGTAAGTACAGCAGTGCCTCTACAGTACTTCTAACATTGAAGCTAGAATGACAGACTCAATCAGTCAGTCAATTTTATTCATAAAGCCCAATATCGCAAATCACAATATGTTGAAAGTATTAATATGTGATAGTATGAGAGAGAGAGAGACGCTAGTTCCTTTCAAATTTTCGCGATATTTGTTTTAACCTACGGGTTTGAGAGTTATACCAAGGAGCAAACTTTCTTTGCTTTGTTAACTTCTTTTTAAGAGGAGCTACAGAGTCGAGCGTTGTTCGCAGCGAGCCTACGGCGCTATCAACAAAATGATCAATTTGGGAGAGGTTAAAGTCGGCACGGGAAACCTCTGTTACTGAAGGTATTGGTATTGAATTTAACGACGAAGTAATCTTTTCCTTAAATTTTGTGACAGCACTATCTGATAAACATCTAGTATAGTAACTGTTGCTGAGTGGCGTGTAATCGAGTAAAAAGAAATCAAAAGTAATCAGATAATGATCTGATAGCAAGGGATTCTGTGGAAAGACTTTTAGGTTATCAATTTCAATTCCATACGTCAGAACTAGATCGAGGGTATGGTTAAAACAGTGAGTGGGTTCATGTACACCCTGACTGAAGCCAATGGAGTCTATTAATGAGATAAACGCGGTAGCCAGGGAGTCATTATCAACGTCGACATGAATGTTAAAATCGCCTACAATAATAACTTTATCTGATTTAAGAACTAAACTGGATAAAAACTCTGAGAATTCAGATACAAATTCAGAATACGGGCCAGGAGCACGGTACACTATAACAAATAAAAGTGGCTGCGAGGTTTTCCAGGTCGGATGTAAAAGACTAAGAACGAGGCTTTCAAATGAATTATAATCTAGTTTAGGTTTAGGGCTGATTAACAGACTAGAGTTAAAAATGGCTGCAACTCCCCCTCCTCGGCCGCTGCCTCGAGGAATGTGGGTATTATTATGACTGGGAGGAGTGGATTCATTTAGACTAACATATTCATCTTGACACAGCCAGGTTTCGGTGAGACTGAGTAAATCAATATGATTATCTGATATTAATTCATTTACTAACACTGCTTTAGACGATAGAGACCTGATATTTAACAGTCTGCATTTAATTCTCCTGTTTTGTCTTTCTGTCACAGAAGAGGTTTTAATTTTTATGAGGTTGTTAAGCACAACTCCTCTTTGTTTAATTTTAGATTTAGATTTTATTATAGACATGATCAATTTTTGCAAACACACATTTTAACTTTTGGTCCTAGAATAATAAAACAGTTGCTCTTTGGGTCCACTAGGTGGAGCTGATGTTTGTTTTCCTGGTGAGGTCAGCGGAGGTCTGAGTCAGCGCCATTTGACACAAAGTTGATTAAAACAAAGATGTTGGTGTGAAAAGTGTCGGTGCTGCAGAGACAGAGCAGGTTGATGACCAAACAGTTGTTGAAGAGTTTCAGCTGGAGACTTAAAGTGTGAGAGGAGACGACACTCAGCTCATCGACAGGCCGACACTGTCTGTCAGTGACTGTCACCGTTCTGTCTGCCGCCTCTTCAATGACATCGTGTTCACGACTCTGAACCAACGTCAGCCTCTAACAGTCTCTGTGTCTCAGGCCTGCAGGCGTCCTCCAGCAGTCAGGTGAAGGTGGACGACGTCTCAGCAGCAAAGAGACCAAACTGTGATCAGAGCGAGCAGTCGCACAAGAAGAAGAGGAAGACGACGGCGTCAGCAGCGGCGTCAGTGTGTTTCTGGTGAGTTTGATCCTGCTCTCATTGCAACAAACTGACGTGTGACAGAATCTGTGAAGATTAAATCAGAAACACAAAACAGTTCTCCACAGACATTAGCTAGCGCTAGCTAACAAGTTGTGTTGTCTTGTTTTAGACGATGGAGGAAGATGATGTGAGTGGTGCGTTCAGAAACACTCATTGTGAGTGTGGGAGCGCACTCTGACACAAACTGGAGCGTTGATAAATTGGGAGCGCTGTCTGAATGTAGCGTTGGGTTATCCAGAGCAGCGCACTCTCAGAGTGGCAGAGCGCACTCTGGACACTCTGTCTGTGGAGACGGAGCAGCAGAGCGCCGAGCGGAGTGAATGATGTGTGATTAACTTAACCGTTGGTTCATTCATGTAGAAATATAACAGAGAGACAGACAGGAGGACAGAGAGACAGACAGGAGGACAGAAAGACAAATGTCAGGAGGACAGAGAGACAGACAGGAGGACAGCTCTGATTGACAGGTGTAGGATCCCAGCCTATAAATACAGTGATTATTATTAGTTTGGTCCACAGGCCCAGCACACTGCTGCAGTGAGATTAATCAGCAGCTGTTTTATCTGTCGTCCAATAAGATTCATGTCTTTCATGTCTGGCTCCGCCTCCTCGCCGTTGCTGCTTTAATGGCACTGACTGATGTTTACAGATGTTCTGACTCATGTCAGGTCAGGGTTTCAAGTTTGAGACAGTCTGTCACCATGGTTACAGGACGGGACTGGGCGAGATGCTGAGCTCAGAGGACGAAGACGACGACGCTGACGATGAGGAGGAGGGAGGAGAGTCTTCATCCATGTCCTCCTCTAGCTACGCTGCTGCTGTTACCATGACAACACAGACAGAGGAGTCTGAGCAGAGCAGCAGGTAGAGACCAGCTCCACCTCGCACCTGATCCACGCACTCGAGACGACACCTTCACACATCTCATGTTTAATGACATCATCGTCTCTTTCAGCTCGTCTACTGCCTCCGACCGCAGCTCCTCCGTCACACCTGGACAGAGCTCCGCCGCACCTGGACAGAGCTCCGCCGCACCTGGACAGAGCTCCACCGCACCTGGACAGAGCTCCGCCGCACCTGGACAGAGCTCCGCCGCACCTGCAGAGGAGCAGAAACCATCTGAGGAGTCCAGCTGTTGCTCTCAGCGGAAGGTCAGTAGTTTATCTTCTCTGTACATCCCATAATATATTCAGCTCTTATTTAGAGCTGTAACACTCAGTGCGTTTACTTGGACAGTTTAATTCCACTGAATGAATTTTCATTCAGTTTTCAATCGGAATGAAAATGGCCAGTGTGATTGAAAATTCAATCCGATGTAAGGGGCTGGAATATTCCGTTTCTAATTCCCAATGAAAGAATTTCTCACACTTGTATACACTCATTCCTCTTTAAGTTCATTCCGGTCTTTCTGCACATGCTCGTTTCCTTGTCCTTCTCGCACCATGACGTATATAGCGCGCATAGCAACGGGCTGAGATAGAGCAGTCGGACTCGTTGCACTCACCGGTTTCCATTCTCCACAGCACGGTCTTCTATCTCCCTTCTTCGACCTTCTACCTCCCTTCTCATCCTCAACAGACGAAGCATTAGCAGAACAAGGTTGTTGTCGTACTGCTGCTTCAAGAATATAAGCAAAACACGCCCAAAAAAGACACTAAGAACGGCGTCGTCAAGCATCTTGTTATCCGGAGCGAGGACTACAGTGTTTTCTTCCAGTAAACGTAAACACGTAACATCCGCCCCGCCCCCTATCCAATCAGAAACCTTCCCTGCCCCAAACCTTGCGCAGACCCGAATAAAGGCGATTAAACTGATCTCTGTGTAAACCCTCATTCAGAATGAATATTTCTCATGTAAACTACCTGGAAAGACTTTAATTCAGAATGATTTCATTCAGATTTATTTCATTCTGAGTGAGAAGCCATCATGTAACCGCAGCCTGTGAATCAATTAGTGTCTCTGTGTCTGATGGGAACAACAGGTAATGAAATGTGTCCAGTTCTGACAGAGCGCTGCAGCAGTGAAACAGAAAGTGATGTAACCACTCTGTCCACTGACAGGCTCTGATTGTGTCTGAGAGCATGATGAAGGATCTCTACAGAGACAGAGCTTTGAGTTTAACCAGAAACAGCCCCAAAATCAGTCAGCGTGACCTCACATGTTTGGTTCACACACTAATTCTGACCAAATTTGACACAAATGTCTAACAGGATAAAATAATGAAGGTCAAAAGGTCAAAGGTCAGCTTGACTGTGACATCATCATGTTTTAACGTCATATCTCAGGAACAGAAGGGGAGACATTTGGTCAGATACTGAATTGGTGACTCTAATCTTGTGTGTTGTATTTGCAGGGCCAGTCTCCGGTGGATCTGTCCTCAGTGTCCTCTGTGGCTCAGCTGGAGTCTCTGGGTCTGGACGTCCTGAAGGAGGAACTGATGTCTCGAGGTTTGAAATGCGGGGGAACACTGACGGAGCGTGCTGCCCGGCTTTTCTCCATCAGAGGGCTGACTCGAGATCAGATTGACCCGACGCTACTCGCCAAACCGGCCAAGACAAAAAGGAAGTGACGAGATCACAGCAGAGCCGAATTAAAGGAGCAGTCCAGCTTTTTCCATCTTACTCAAAAGTCCTCGTTACTGTTCGTCGTCAGTCAGTCGAGTTTCTGTATTTGAGCTTTTTTTGTGTTTTTAAACCGTTTTGAGTTCTGTTCACAGAACTCAGGTAGATGTTAACGTGGGGTTTAATAGCTTTTATAATTTTGAGCTTCACTCTGCAGACGGATCTTTTCTTAATTGTTTTGTCTGATTGGACTGAACTTTATTAGCAGCAAAGACAAAAACACTGTTGGTTTATGAATTCGTCCAATCAGAAGGCAGGATTACTGTATTAGTTTGATCAGCAGCTGTGACTTGTGTAAAAATCTCATTCACTTGTTAATCAGCTTCAAGTTTCTTTTGTTTATGAAAGTTTCTTTTTATTAAATTGTTTCTGAAACAAAAAACAGCTGTTGTTCTTTTTTCAGGATTTTAAGGAACATTTATGTTTGTGAGCGCATAAATCACAGCAGGAGTGGCTCGTCTAAATGTTACCAGCTGAGCTTTGTGTGTCCAAAATGAAGACCACAGGAAGTGACATCATTGATGATCCAAACACAAACAAAATGTTTCATCATTTAAGTTAAATAATCACATTTTACATCCATCAGTTCAGTCTGTTGAGCTTCCTGTCAGCAGACTTCCTGTTAGCAGCAAAGGTTGCTGGGACGTGGTGTTTAGAAGCCGGGGTCCCAGGTAGTGACCTGTGGAGCCTCCAGCTCCTCGAAACAAACTACGACATCGCCAGATCTGAAGTCGACCTCAGTGTCAGCTGACAGACCGCACTCCATCCCCGACTTCACCATCTGAACATCGTCCTTGTGGTGCTTCAACGCCACCAGAGAACCTGCAGGAAACAGACAGAGAACGTCACAGCAACATCACAAGGAAGTAAGGAAACAAAAAGAATATGGCACTGACATTAAAGAAGTGTCAGAGGAACGTCAAAGTGAACACAGAAACGTTATTAAAAGTCATAGTATAGTATAGATTAATTAAAAAAAAGTCAGTATAGTATGATTAAAAAAAGTCATAGTATAGTATTTAAAAAAAGTCATAGTATAGTATGATTAAAAAAAGTCAGTATAGTATGATTAAAAAAAGTCATAGTATAGTATGATTTAAAAAAAGTCATAGTATAGTATGATTAAAAAAAGT